AGAAGGCTGATACTGATACTCATAGTCCTCCTTGTGTCCACCTTTCACGCAATGTGAACATGGCCATATCGTTCACAAACCCAAACCCAAACCCAAACCCAAATCCAAATCCAAATCCAAATTTACCAGTAGTGTTACCGAAAGCCCACATACACTGTTACTACTAGTACAAAAAGGAAAAAGCTTCTTCCAATAAAACGGAGAACTTGGAAAAAAATAACAACCATATCACTGTAGAAATGGATAGCCTCAATCACATCACAAGTATTACCAAACAGCCCTTTACTAAAGCATTACCACAAAGCTTATAATGTTACAATATTACGATGTACCTAGTATCGTTTGTTACTAGCAGATCTGAACTCAACAGCAACACCATAAATGATAGTCATGCCAAACACTACCTAATTGTAATGAGGTGATCTCTTGGGAATCTTGAGCAGTTCAAGGATATTCCTTACATCAGCAGTAGTTTTGTCAATAATTTCAGTGATGTAACCTCCTACCAGACGATTAGATTGGTTCCAATTGTTGTATTTGAGTTTTGGAAGCATTTGTTCTTCACTCCACAAATTCAGTACTTCATTTTCAGAGATTGGAATGTGAGACTTGGGTCTACCAATCTCTCACTCTCTCTCTCTCTCTCCATCTCAATCAAGAGGAAAACTGATCAAATGTACACAAGTTGCTAATGTTTATAATTACAGAGTAAGGATACTTTAGGATTCGAGTTATGGATGTGGTGGTCGTTGAGAATTATGTATATAAGGCAAAGTTTGTTTCGGTGCAATTTCATTTGCATTGGTGCAGAAGTACGGAAATGCAAATGAGTTAAAGTCCAATTTTATCTTACTTTTGTTATAGGTTTCGTGTTATTTGTTTGGAGCGCATAAAAAGCAAAATAAAAATTAAAGTAGAACAATTTAAAAGCCAAAGCAATAAGTTGATGGTGCAAATTAAAGTAGAACAATTTTGTGGCTGTGTTTGGTTGTAATGCGTATTTATTTGCACCGATGTAAAATCATGGTAGTGCAAATGATTTTGGTGCAAATTGTGATTTATTTTTATTTTAAAATTTACCTTATTTTGTTTGATTACAGTTGAAGTAAAATAAGACCTGAAACAGAATAAAGTAAAACCCAAAATAAAATTAAGCTAAAATTTATATTCTTTTCATTTGCACTCCCATGCATCTATACTAGTACAAATAAAATTACACTGCAATCAAGCATAGCCTATGGCTCAATTTGGAAGGAGTACAACTACAAATATGCACAGTTCAAATATATAAAATATAAGGTTTGTGCTCTACAAATTTGCATCTATACTCCTTCCAAACTGAGCCTATTTTGCAAAATTTTCATTTGCAATTTTGCACTCCCATCCATTTATAATAGATGCTCATTTTGGAAAGAGTGCATATACAAATATATATATAGAGTAAAACCTTATATAGAATTTCTAAATCTTGTATTTTGCACTCCTCCCAAACTAAGTCAGAAGAAATGAAATTGCATTGTAAACAAACACAACCTAATACCCTATTTCAGTTCAGTACAAAAGAATTCATCAATCATGGGGCATTTCATGGGTTTCTGCTTAACAAGAATTACAACTTTATAAGATATTCAAAACTCAAATTTACAGAATATCTACACGTGAAGTATAAGTGAGATCACGTAACTATTTGTTTACTCTTTTTGGGCCAGAAGACATTGTTTCGATGTAATCATGTGCGTGGCCGTGACAGCGCTTGCATGGGCCCAAGCCCACACTGTACTTGCCAAATAATCGCCCCAATAGGCCTAACTCATTCTAGCTAAATTTTTCTGAATTGGTATGTTCAAATTATTTTTTTTGACGGGTATGTTGAAATTAGTTGTGTTTGTGAGATTTTAATATTTCGTAAAAGGCCAAATAGGGTGTCTTATTATGCCTCTAGGCTGGGCCAAACTTATGAGGATCAGGGCTGCGCTTGTCTGGCCCATTTAATTATTTGGCGTTCAGGATTGACCTCGAGCTTTGACCCACCTTTCCTGTACATAAAATCAGTTAACCATGTAAATGTAAACTCTAGTCTCTAGGCCTATATGACTGTACCTAATAGTGAGGAAAACCTTAGGGAATCCTTCCAACACTATTAACATAATGACACCCTAGCTTTGGATTCAACCTGGCAAACTGTATTTTTTGTTTTTATTTGCACCAGCACAAATGCATAGTGGTTTAAATGAAAAAATTGCAAATTCTGGTTGATTTTTGCTCCAAGTTTCAGTTAATTTTGAAGTTCCATACATTTTGTACTGTTGTGCTAAGAAACGAAGCCCTAGTTTACTTCCAGCTAAAAGGGAATGGGGTCCGATTCAGTCTTTGGCTTATTCAAGATTATACTGAAATTCAATCTAACCTTATTGAAGTTCAACAAACTCCTGCATTGGTTTGCCTATGGAAAGGTTAAATTTATGATGCATCCACTGTATTGTATTGTATAGTAAAAGATGTGGTTAGTTGAATATAATGGTAAGTAGGGGTGTGTCCAATGTGAGTCCATTACTAATGGACCAGGTCCAATCCAATCCAATAAATACTTTAGACCATTCAGTCTGGACTATTCTAGTTCAATATGTCTTGTTGGTCCATTTAATTCATTCAAATTGATTTTGATTTAAATGAATCCAATCCAAAACCGGTCTATTGACACCCTAATGATAAATACATTTTGTTAAACATGAAAATATGCTTTTCAAAATATAAACCAATAAAAAATAAATAGATTTTTAACATTATTGGTTGAGATTTAGATTTAACGGCAGCCAATATATATCGTAAACCGTTGCAACCTTTTTCCTTGGCCTAAAACTACATTCCTTTTCTTTTGTTCTTTGTGAAACATCAAAGCCTGAAAAGGAACCGTTCCTTTTCCAGTTTTCCTATTCACGTATATACTAAAGAAGTTGTTGAAAGACAAAAAGACAAACAGGTTCAATTCATGCCAAGGTATGTGACCGATATGTGTAAATGGGGGGGTGTTTCTTGTCATTTACTTAGTATGTGCTTGGTACCGTTTATGTTTATTGAATAAACATTTATTTGTTGGTAAAATCAAGAAATGCAATAATTGCAACCGTTTATGACAACTGGGCGCCACTAACCTCAATTAGATGCCACTTTTCGAAACAGTGAATAAACGCCTGACCGACCGTTTATGAAAATTTCAAAAAATAACTCTACAAATGACTAACATGCACATAAACCAAAGTTCATTTTTTACATTTTGGATGTATGTAAAATAACAAAAAAAGAAAATGCTGAGTGGCACCATCAAGAAAAACATAAATGGTACCAAACATCACCGTAAAAACAAGTTAGAAGAATAAAAAAAAGTCCGTCAATTTATCAAAAGCAACCACAGCCAAATGCGGAAGTAAATTAGAAGCAGGCAACAACGTACATGGCCTAATCCTCTAATATGCTTTGAAATTAGACATTTCAGGCTCAGTCACGACATGTACATGATTACGCATATTTCAGTCTACATCCACCAATTTGACCAAAAGCCTCCATAAAATAAGCTTTTTGTATAGGTGTTTGTTAGCTCCAAATTTGGTAAACTCTGGCTCAGCTAAACTAACTACCCGCGTAACAAATTAGATAGACGCAGGATTAATTTCCTATTTCTCATCCTGGGATGAATAACGGGCAAGGTCGAATTTTAGAGACCCACCTCCCTCCAACCTGCCCAAACCTTCCTTCTCCTCCTTGTTCAAGAAGGGAAACGATTCACGTAAGCTTGAAGCCGCCATTGACCCAGCTGACTCGTATGCTTCAGTGGTTGAACCGTCTGATATGATGTTTATCCTACTTGGGTTCCATATTTACACAGATCTGATCAAAGGGCCGAACCTTAGTTGAACAATACTCCAATCCAAATGGATGATTGGGTCACAGAGACCCTTATAAGTAATAATTCACATAGGAATCCAAATGAAAATTGGAATGACATTTTCTTCCCAAAGGAGGGGGCCATTTCCTCATCAAATGGGGAAATGCCATTACAGCCGGATTGAGAATAGGATTCTAATTTGGTCCAACCAAACAATTAAAATCATAATGATTCATACCCCTATTCCCATGAACCAAATGAGACCCAAATTCATAAATCACACAAGCGACCCCAAAGATACCTGGATCAGTTTCAGTGAGGACCCTGGACGCACTTAGCCGTAGGTCCTGATTTAATGAAGAGTGAGGAAGGTTCTCAGTTCTCACATAACCAATGTGATCGTGATTGGGTGCGACTCTTATGAGTTATTGCAGCCTTCGTACGTCTGATGTTAAAAGTCATACGCCCAAGCCATTACTACATATTTGATAATTCCACCCAGATGCAATTGGAAGTTAAAATATTTCTCGGAGTAGAAAGTATTGACAACAATTTTCTTCACACAAGACCTTCAGTCCACAGTAGATAACCACCCATACCTAATCGGCTAATCCCATCGTCCAATTAGTCCAAGAGGACTGGAAAGAGGAAACAGAATGGGGAGGCAGAGTTGAGAGTTGAGAGTTCAAACCCCAACCCCCACCCCCTCGAAAAGGACCATTTGCCACGTGTCAACATCCCAACCGAACACAACAAGCCACGTGTCTACTCGTGCTTTCGTGAAGAGAAGAAGACGTGTAGACATGAAATTAGGAGGTGTAGGTCACCATTAATTCGCCACCCATGTTGTATTCTTTATATTTAGAAAAAGAAGAGATTTAATTAAAACATAACCCTAACACACGACACGACACGACACGACACGCATCATATCATATGATATGATGGTTATCGGATTCGGAGTTTAGTAATAAACTTTGATAAAAATAAGAATTAAGAAAAAATTATAGGTGAGAATGAAGTCAGAAGGTCTTGTGATTTTAGTTGAAGGTGCAGCCGCAACCTCTCACCTACTTGGCGCCCAAAAATGGTTAAATGGGTCTCCTACTCTCCGCTCGAGAACGGTGCCTTAAAACGGCGAAGAAGGAAAATAGTTAAAGGCGGTTTGGTAGTCGTCATTAGTGGGGTCATCCTTCTCTCTCCTTCTACTAGTCTGGACTCTGGTCTAGTCCTTCTCGAGTCGAGTACAGTTGTATTCGTTCGTCGGCCAACTAGGAGCTTGGAGGGAGAGTTCACAATTTAACCTTGGGGTTTGGGATGGGTTTAGTCTGGTCTAGTCTTTCTGTGACTGTGGTGTGAGGTTCGTTTCGTTAAAACCCTAAATAACCCCATAAGCTACCGTTAACGTTAACCATTTACCAATCTCCTCCTCCTTGGCAGTCGTACTCGTTCGGTTCCTCCCCCCTATAAAACCAGATTATATAGAGTTGGTTTTGGGTAATAGAAAGTTAATACCAGGCCTTCTCTCTGCGCCCAATGTCTCGCGTCGGAACCGACGAGAATATCCCGGCGAGGTTGTTCGTCGATGATAAACCAGGTTTGGAGACAAAACATGCCTTAGAGCTCCAGGGTCCTGCTGGGACACCACGCACCAGGTCCTCTCCCACTCTAGGTGAACTGCTGAGGCGGGTGGGAGAGACGCGGTGTGAAGCCTCCGGTAATGAGACTCCGCCGCACCAGGTGGTCAACATGAGCGACACCAGCCTCGACCCAAGGTCTCTACCTTTTGTTCTCTCCTTCACCAATCTGACGTACAGCGTCAAGATTCGCCGTAAGATTTCGTTCTCAACGTGTTTTCACCGAACCAATAGACTCGGAACTACAACGGAGCCTATCGATAACGAGCCTAGTAGGTTCACTAATACAAAGATCCTGTTGAATGATATCTCCGGCGAAGCCAGGGACGGAGAAATCATGGCTGTTCTTGGCGCCAGTGGATCGGGGAAATCAACTTTGATTGATGCTCTTGCCAATCGCATCGCCAAGGGGAGCTTGAAAGGGTGTATAACCTTGAACAATGAAGCTGTTCCTTCTCGTCTACTCAAAGTGATCTCTGCGTACGTCATGCAAGACGACCTTCTCTTCCCGATGCTAACCGTCCAAGAGACCCTCATGTTCTCGGCGGAGTTCAGGTTGCCCCGCACGCTCGATAAGTCGAAGAAGAAAGCCAGAGTCCAAGCCCTGATCGATCAGCTAGGGCTCAGAAACGCCGCCAACACGGTGATTGGCGACGAAGGCCACAGAGGTGTCTCAGGCGGAGAACGCCGTCGGGTTTCCATTGGAATCGATATAATTCACGACCCCATCGTATTGTTCCTGGACGAGCCAACGTCTGGACTAGACTCGACGAGCGCTTTCATGGTGGTGAACGTCTTGAAGCGAATCGCTCAGAGCGGGAGCATAGTTATCATGTCCATACATCAGCCGAGTTACAGAATCATAGGCCTTCTCGACCGTCTAATATTTCTGTCACGTGGACAAACAGTGTACAGTGGCTCGCCGGCAAATTTGCCGAATTTCTTTCGCGATTTCGGGCACCCGATTCCAGAGCACGAAAACCGGACCGAGTTTGCGCTCGACTTGATCCGGCAACTCGAGGGATCGCCGGGTGGAACCAAGAGCTTGGTTGAATTCAACAAGTCGTGGCAGCAAAACGTGAAGCATCCAACGATCCCTGAACACAACCAACATGAGCACTCGCTCAAGGACGCAATCAGTGCAAGCATTTCAAGGGGGAAACTGGTTTCCGGGGCGACGAATGATGCGAGCCCTATGTCGTCGTCGATGCCAACGTACGCAAATCCGTTCTGGACCGAGATCGCTGTGCTATCGAATCGATCGGTGACGAATTCGAAACGGATGCCGGAGCTGGTGGGGATCCGTTTTGCAGCAGTCATGGTGACTGGTTTCATATTGGCTACCATATTCTGGCATGTGGACAATTCACCCAAAGGAGTTCAAGAGCGACTGGGGTTCTTCGCCTTTGCCATGTCCACCACATTCTACACCTGCGCCGAGGCGCTCCCAGTGTTCCTGCAGGAGCGGTACATATTCATGAGAGAGACGGCTTATAACGCTTATCGTCGTTCTTCTTACGTTCTATCTCACTCTATAGTGGCCATACCTTCTCTGATCTTCCTGTCCTTGGCATTCGCGGCGATAACGTTCTGGTCGGTGGGTCTGGCCGGGGGGTTTTCTGGGTTTCTGTTCTATTTCCTGATAATCTTCGCTTCCTTCTGGGCTGGGAGCTCGTTCGTGACCTTCCTCTCGGGAGTGGTGTCTCATGTGATGTTGGGGTACACGGTGGTGGTGGCCATTCTTGCATACTTCCTCCTGTTCAGTGGCTTCTTCATCACCAGAGACCGGATTCCGGCATACTGGATATGGTTCCATTACATATCGTTGGTGAAGTACCCATACGAGGCGGTGCTGCAGAATGAATTCCTGGACCCGACAAAATGCTTTGTGAGAGGTGTGCAGATATTCGACAACACGCCTCTTGGGGTGGTTCCGGAAGCTCTCAAGTTACGGTTGCTGAAGACGTTGAGCAATTCGTTAGGAATGAACATCGGCAGCGACACCTGCGTGACGACGGGGGTCGACATATTGAGGATGCAAGGGATTACTGATCTGAGCAAGTGGAATTGCTTGTGGATCACAGTGGCCTGGGGCTTCTTTTTTAGGATTCTATTTTACTTTGCATTGTTGTTGGGGAGCAAGAACAAGAGGAGATGATGAGATTCAAGTTACAAATTACAACATCAACAACAACAAACAAAACTGCCATTACTACTCTAAACTGAATCAACACTTCGGCGGGGGAGGGATTTTTTTTTTCTTTTTACTGTACTCTTTTTTGGGTTTTCCTTATGAATTTGACATGGTGGTGGGCGGAGGTAAATGGGGCTGGGTGGCTGAGTTAGGTACTTTTGTGTAAGTTACATAAGACTTTCTTTCCTTTTTTTTTCCTCCCTCTGTTGCTCCGTATTTATTTGTGAAGTTTGTGCTTAAATCAATGAAAATTCTTAATAATTGGACAAATTCAAACTCTCTGACATTCTATTACAGGAATTACAGGCTTTTTCTTCTCCCATTCTGAGGGAGAATTGCATCTTCTCTGCATATTATTATGTCCATAAAATGAAGCAGAGGTTAAACCAACTGTTAGAATGGAAATTAATGGTCTGTAATTTCTAGTACGTTATCTCGAGTCACATTGTTTTACGTAACGCACTTTGATTAAAAAACCACGGTTTGTAACGTACAGTCGCAAGTCGCACTCGCACATTGATTTTTCTTTTTTTAAAGAAGAGTTGACATCCGACTCCAACGAAAAACGGGAGAAGTACGGATACACACGATGCAGAATTCTCCCTATAAACACATCTTACCCGTAAATTTGACATCGATTCACGGTCAGGATGCATTCCTCCTGTACTTTGGGGCTATGAAATTTTGATCTGGATCATTCTCTCAACGAAAAACGGGGACATCGGCCATGGAAATTAAAAATCAGTTTAAAATTGAAAATGATGTTTTCAGTTTTCAGGAAGGGCAAATTTCTTGAAGTATCCAAAGGTTTAGTTAATTAACTATCTACCTCTACTGTTATCTTATCCTTGTGACAATTGACTATTATCTTAAACTATCCTTATGAAAATTGATTAACTCTACCCTATCGCTAACGTCCTTAATATTCTGTCAAAATCCTTACACACGTGACACCATCTAATGTAAATATTATCCTCCATCCCTCTTCTCTTCACTTCCTCTGTTCTTCTCTTCGACCTTCTTTCTTTGACAGCAACACCACCGTCTGAGTTTTTCTGTCTCTCTGATGCCATTTTCAACGTTTGAAGCAAGGGGGTTCAGCAATGGAAATACCACAATTAATTCCAGTGTTAGTCACCCTTTTCGCTCTCTACCCCGTTGAGCAATAACAAGCTGGCAAGCCCTTCGAAATCAAGAAAACCGCCATTACCGAACTCATCAACAACAGAACAGCGAAGTTGACAGGTTACGAATAATTGGAAGAGAAGAACACAAGAAACCTATGAAGAATAGAAGAAAAATGTAGCTCTAGCATCCCACCACACTCCCCTTGTTCCTTGCCATTTAGAAAGCCGTTAGCAGTTCCCTGAAACATCGATCTGACACAGAGATGGATTCCATCTGCTCGGTAACCAGGACTGTTGATTATCCTCCAATGGGTCTTGAATCTGGGTTCTGGCACTGGCATTGTCATTTGGCCCAGAACATAGTGAGTGAGAACAAGATGCATTTGGGCACCAAAGCATAAAAACCACCACGGCGCTTGCCAACACCTGGCCGAACTCAAACTAGATCATCCTCTGCTATTTCGTGAATCCTCCTCTCCCTCCCAAGGTTTCACCCTTTCGCTTTCGTACTCAAACTCGGATCCACGTCCGCTGTCATCTGCTCCCCAACTCATCCCTCCGAGACCAATTGTTTGAAAACTGACCCAACGACCTGAATCAATTGTGGAGGATGGTGATGGCGAGTAGGGATTGCAGGAGCAGAGGCGACGGAAAGAGCCCAAGGAGCCGTTGGAAAGAGATTCCACGTCAGGGTTCAGTTTAGGAGCTCTTGAAGTTGGAGAAGACAGAGGTAGAGATTGCAAAAATGAAGAGCTTTAATGCGGTTAAAACTGGCACTCGAGAATATAGAGGACCAGCTTGAGTTCTTCCATGTAAGTTTCTGGAATTTCTACTTCGTATGGCCAATCAGAAAGTGAGGAATCAATGGATGTAGCAACATTCGTCTTCAATCCACCAGATGCGAAGTACAAGGGCAACATTTTTTCTCTTCGGATTGTGAAATTTTTTTAGCAGTTGAGTTTTATTTTGAAAATTGAAGAAACAACGGAGGGCAAAATCGATATTTTATTTTTTCCATTACTATTTAACCACGGCAACAATTATATATGAGAAACAGTAGAACTTTAAAACAATACTAAAACAATAGGGTACCGTAGAGATGGTTTAAAAAATTAGAACTTTCAAGAATCATCCCTTCTCACACACGAGTCACACTCTCATACATACTATTCTCGTGCACATGTTTTTTGACTCTCCCTCTCTCTCACACAAACACACACACTCAAGTCTCAAGTTCTTAATAGTTACTCCACGTCTTTGACAACTTTGCTTTCACATGCATCTTACGTAAGAGCAGTTTAGGATAATAGTCAGTCGTCGCATCGAGTAAACTTAAAGTGTAAACGTTGCATTCCGAGAAACAATGCATGATGAATACGAGTACATGCATATCGCAAGAGCCCGCATGCAAGTATTCTCGTATCGTCTTCAATTCTACGAATCACCTTACTACATCACGACAATCTATGTATGTACTAGTGGGGCCATTCTTATGCTGATATGGCCACCGGCCGCGGCATGAATTTTCTTACCTTCTTAGCGACGGTTTGGAACCCAACATGATAAGCCCCGATATTGAATTGGATTTAAACTAAAATCAGACATTGAATTGGATTGATCGATCTAAAATGACTCAAAGTATTTATTAAATTGGTTTAGATATTTATATTAAATTAAATCAAATTGAAATAAATCCAATTTAATTGACACCCGTAAATATAACAAATCATGATTGGCGGGTTATCCTCATGATCATGTGGAAGACATCACTCGCTTACACTGATAATAACATCTCAACCAATCCAATCTTTGGTGTACCAAAGGTAATATGAGTATATGTTTATAGATATACATGTATGTAATCATAAAAAGTTGAGTGGAAACGCATTGAGAAAGGAAGCTGAATATCTTATTCTCACATGCATGTACCATTCTTTAACACATTAATTGCTGCAGTAAGTGCAATAAAAGTACAGGAAAAAAATGTGCAGCAAATCCTTTTTGTAAACAGGAAGGGAGTTTTCACAAGCAAATTAGCATTTAGATAAGAATCCTGATTTGAGAACATCCAATTTTGATTGAGTTTTCAAGTCATGCCAAAACCTTGTGATCATGGAACAGATACGCCACTCTCATCAAATAAAAAATAGTGCCCCTATATAGCTTATTAGTTGTATAGCAGCGTTGGTATACATGATCTGAGTTTTGCCACGTGGCCTTATCATTTACCATGAAAATTGGACCATTTTCTCTTTTATTAAAGGAGAAAAAGTTTTTTTAGGTATACATCTCGGCCTTTTGGCTAATATCAAGTGAAATAGAGCGAAAGTGATGAAGTTTAATTTGGAGAGGGGTACCCCTATGATTATCCCCATCTATCAGGGGTACCCTAATCAACACTTATTTAAATATAAATTTGGAGACAGGATAATTTATGTGGGGATGGGCTTGTAAGCGACTCATTTGAGGCTGCAAATCTCTTATAAATAAAAGCTATGACTGCAAAAGGAAAAGGAGAGGAAATTCCAATACATGTTTGAACCTTTTCAATACGGCTGAGTTAAAGTCTTTATCTATGGTGCTATATTTTTTACCTCTTCCAAAATATATTTTGAATGTCTTGATCTTCGCTACATGTATGTATGTATGTATGCATGCATGGGCGGAGTCAAGGGGGGATCTAGGGGAGTCATGGCCCCTCTTATGGTTCAGAAACTTCCCACTGAAAAACAGTTTTTCATGTAAATTTTTTCTTCTCCCCATTTTCCATCTCAATGGTTGGCCCCCCTATGAGCCCATCCATATTTCATTTATGTTTTGACCCTTCTTATAACAATTTCCTGACTCCGCCCCTGTATGTACGTATGTATGTATGTATGTATGTATGTATGTATGTATGTAATACATATATGAATTTAATAGGTTATATTTCTCTTACATGGAGTGACCTTGTAATCAATATAGACCATTTGATTCTGTTGTTTGTTGATGTTTTCAACGATTAAGTTTCAATATAAATATACTGCCCCATTTGAGAGTACTTATTAGATAACAATTTATCCTAATAAGCACTTATGAGTATTTGATAAAAAAAGGGCTTATTTTAAATAAGGATGATATAGGTATTTTGAAAATTATGTGGTAGGCCAAAATGAGTCATAAATGCAATAAGCACTTATTTCCCTGAAAAAGAACTTATTCAGCTTATTTACCAAATATACATAACAACTTATTGGTGTGCAGGCCCCTGGCCTGAAATAAGTGCTTATTCCAATAACTAAAAAATAAGCACTGCCAAACTGGAAAGAAGTGAGTGATTATTTTTTTCTATAAATACATGTTGAGAGAAGTATAATAGGTAGTTAAGATTCCTTTTGTACTCCAAATTAACTTGCTAGATGTGAAATTTCATGGATCATATGGGTAATTCACTAAAAAAACCCAATTATGCATAGATAATGTTAATTGTTAAGAGTATTGTCTCAATCAAACCACTGGCATCCCACGATCACTAACAAAACCACCAGAAGACAATCCAGCAGGGACCTCAATACTATATCCCTTCAACTTCAAGGCAACCCAAGCAACAGAAACAATACATCTCCAGGTAGAAACTTACTGCTCAAATGACAAAAATTAGTACGGGGACTGATCAGGGTCCTGGATTTACCCAAATCTTGGGAGGTTATTATTTACCCAAATAAATGAAACTTGGAAATCATTATTTTGCCGAAACATGAATATGAGTTTTTTTCTTTCCTTGAGACCCACCGACTTATTTGCCCTCATTTACCCAAATCAATAAATCCATTCGGGATTTCCTACTCACTTTTCCTGCCCATTCTCTATCCACCGTGAATTAGAGCCAAACGTCTCTGTTATGAATTGAGAGATGTGTAGCTGCAATTCAGCGCGGGTGAAAAGTGGGTAGGAAAAGTGAATAGGAAATCTGGGCTCGGTATTTGAAAGACTATCCACTTCAGCCTCTTTAAAAAATTCATGCAGAATGTTTTAAAGCAATTGAATCAGCTTAGCTGCAGCTACTCAACCCTCCCAAACAGGCACTAAAGTTAATGCGCAGAGATGGTTTAGGATCCTTTAATTTATTCAAACTTTGTGAAGAAAATGGTTTTTGTTTCTCTTTAATTTGT